TTATTCAGGGCTCGCAGATCTAGGATGTCCTGCTGTTGAGAAAAGTAGTAATTACGTGTTTTTTTTGTTTTTTGTCGCTAACGCTCGGGAGGACGCGTACGACGATGTCGCTCGCCTACTGTGGACGGTCGGACGGACGGTCGGACGGACGGTCGGACGGACATTTCGTTTGTATGACCCAAGACTTTCAGTCAAGGGAATAACCGCTGTACATATATAACCGCCGAACTTTTTGCAGACAATCATTCAGTTGAGAAACCAGTATACAGCACGCTGTGTCTACTTAAGGAAGCCGTCAAAATTCGCATCTGTGATTATTTTCACCGGTGAACTGGATTGGACAGAGAATTGAGAACAGTAAATACTGTTCTCAATTCTCTGTCCAATCCAATATAATAATACTGTCCAATGAATAATATTATTCAATATGCCAACAACAATAACAGAAAGAACATATATGTATATATTCTTTTCTGTACTATACTTGACTTGATATTGTTTTGAATTGTAAAAGTTAATTTGAAGGTATCCTTTGCCAGTTTGTAGTGCACAACTTGCATTGTACTCTATATCAGGCAATGTTTTGGGAAAAGGTCTCTTTTAGTTTTTAAGTTATAGAGATCTGAATATCATAGACTAAAGTTAGTAAAATGTATGGATTTCACTTTAATTTTAGAAACTGCATGAATTTGGAATGACAAACATAACTTTCTTGATCACTTTTCGGAACATCATAGTCAGAGAAGCCCAAGTTCAACATCTATTTTTTCCAGTAAAATCACTACAATCAAATTGAAACGCATCCATTTTACTAACTTTTACCTTTGATACTGACAACTCTGTTTCTTAAAAACTAAAAGAACCTTTTTCTCGAAAATATGGCAGATATATAACAATTTGTGTACTTCAAATTAGTGTAAGAAGTAAAAAGGAATCCTCTCTAATTATTCCACTTTTTAATTAGCGATCAGTGATTAGTGATCAGAATACAGAATTAATTTAGAGCTAGACACGGCACATTCGATAATTCAGTCTTTTTCTTACTTTGTTTGTGAAAGAGAATTCGAAATTCATGCAATACGATAGTTCCATATTTCTACAATTAAAGTGAAATCCATACATTTTACTAACTTTAGTCTATGATATTAAGATCTCTATAACTTAAAAACTAAAAGACACCTTTTCCCAAAACATTGCCTGGTATAGAGTACAAGTTGTGTACTACAAACTGGCAAAGGGTACCTTCAAATTAACTTTTTAATGTGGGAAGTTGTCAGAATAAACACTAATTTCATAGTGAAGGGAATCTTTCTTTTGGATTAAACGATAAAATTTATTCTTTTGTCCATTTCTTGTTTTATATCTCTCTCTCTATAGTGTGCATAGAAAGAAAAACAACATCAAGTCAAGTATAGTACAGAAAAGAATATATACATACATCGTCATTCTGTTATTGTTGTTGGCATATTGAATAATACTGTTCTCAATTCTCTGTCCAATCCAGTTACCAGTGAATTTATTCACCGGCGAAAATAGTCACCGATGCGAATTGTGACGGCTTCCCTTAACTGACGAGGGAATCACCCGAGGCGATAAATCGCTTTTTGATCAAAATCTGGTGGGTTATAGGTTATCGACCATGGTGATTCTGAATATGTGATATATTTGAATAGAGATAAGCTCAAATAGGACTGATAATTTGTCTTACAAAATGAGACATAGCTAAATAAAATCGAGTGACGATAGTTTTACACAATTTTCGTTTGATGATACAACCTTGGCCAAAATACGTTTAGAAATTACTTATCTTATCTCATAAGACAAGTAACTGATTGATCCGTTGTGGCTACAGAAACTGATTGACTTATCAGGCTTAAAAAATCAAAAAACACTTATTTAATCTTTCGACATATCAGTTAGTATATTACTTTTTTTACCGTAGAACACGGGTCCACCACTATAAAGAAGAGAATATCCTTCAACTAAAGTTTATACTTGAATATTTTTAGATTTTCTCGCATAAAATGTGTTTGGAAAAAAATTAAAATTGACGTGTTCTGGGTAAATCGACAAGCTCTATCCAACAATAGGTAAAAAGAATAAAGAAAAGCTGTTGCTTGATTTCCCGATTGCTGACTTCTTAAAACTTTTGTAGTCAAACGATTTCTTTGTTTGGCATGACAGAAAGTACACAGCCAAAAAAAGAACATATTTAACAGTATATTTTTATTTAAAGTATCCATTAAACATAAATCGTAATAAAATGACAAATATTCCATCAGCATTCTCCCGTTTCTGGCAGCGTTTAATGCATCGACGAAACTGTGATCAAGCCGTTGCTCTTAGTATGTCTGTTGAAAGTCAATTAACAAATCAGGATAATGGAACAACCATTTTATTGGATGAAACTCAACCTGTTAACGACAGGAGGTCGTCTTCAATCATTCATACACCTGATAAGCTTGTTTGGGTACGTATGAGAAGATAAATTAGAAAAAAAAATGAAATGAAAATTGAAGCATCAATTCTGTTTACTAGACTGCTGGTGTTGGAAATACGGAAATGTTTGAATATTTAGTATGTATAGATCCAGAAAAATTGCGAATGCCAAATGCTGATGGTTTATGTGCAATTCACCAAGCGGCAATTAAAAATCAAATTAAAATAATGGAAATTATTGAACGTCATCACGGAGGCAAGCAAGTTATAAATAATTTAATTCATCTCTTTTTATATTTAACAACTTTAGATTTGAATGAAATTGATCAAAATGGTTGGACAGCCTTACATCACGCAACAAGACACGGCCATTTATCTCTCATGCAATGGTTACTTGATCATGAAAACGTTGATAGTCGAAAGAAAAATGATGATAATGAAGCTCCGGTCCATGTGGCTATTTTAAATAATCAACTTGAAGCATTAAATGTATTCATCTGTACATCATGTTCAGCCCACTGTGCTATTTCGTTACTCAGCTGTGAGACATCCTTCTCCCTCTCCCCACACATAGTAGGCCAACAAATGGCACCCGAATCATTCACTCGAGTATCCAACTTGAAGCTTTGAAACTTATAGAATCAATGTATATTCTCGACATCGATCAAAAGCATTTTTGAGGTTAACCCTTCGTTTACCAGCGTCCCGAATTCAGGACGCTTTTTTAAGTTTCTTGATTTCCGAATAACTCTCGAACACAAAAAGATATCAAGATGCGACGATACAGTTTTGTCTACTGATCCCTAATATGTTTTTAATTTTGCTTGCAAAAAGCACATGAACAGTGAAAAAGACGCAAAAGGCTTGAGGTCAGAGTGAATTTGACGTCTTCTTGACAATATTTTAGCTATGGATATTTTTCCCCCAAAGGTTTCATTACTATATTTTTACATGATTGTGACGGACATTAATCACAGAAGTTATAGTAGAATGGACGACCCTTGGTTGTTCACCCTTCCCTTCCTATGTATGTTTCAATAGTGGATGCTGATTTTCAATGAATTTCTCGAACCATACAATAGTTAGCCCTCATACTTTGTGTGTATAATCTACAAACATTTTAGAGTATCTAGTGTATATTTGAAATGGACATTATATTTCTAAATTGAGTTATGATTTTTTGTGGACGAGGACCTCAAAATAGCTGTATTTCAATAATTATTAAGGGCTAACATTTCAAATTCATACCATAGATAGAAAAGAGTCTAAGCTACACTTTAGTAAAAAGAAAAAATTTTCACCTCTCTTGGGTCAGGAGTTATTAGCGTTTTACGAGAAAGAAATGAAACGCTTACATATCATGAACTATCTAGGAAAAGAAGCCTAAACTTTGTGGATGATCGGCATTCAGTGAGAACAAGGATCGTACAAATTTAGAATTCCCTAGCTATCATGGTCGAGCAATTGTAAAGAAAGGGTTAATGGATCTAATAATGGTCAACATCACGAAAATTCCTAATTTTTCACTAAACGGTACCCACTTTATCCGAGGTGAACTTGTCCCCATTTCTGGGCTAGATATCAGGAAACAGACACATGTACTAAGAAATTTCATATACTGTATCTATCAGAGGTGAGCGATGGACCATTGATAGCTACTTTGCGGGGATCGTGCCGTAAGCTTTCTGTCCATCACCGTCTCGTCCTTCGTCAACTATTGATAAAAATTTTCCCGAAACATCTTTTCGAGAAAAGACATTGTTACATGGTCGGTGAAATCTCTGATCTGTTTTTGCGTGTATTAAATGAATATTCTCATTTGTGGTCACTTACCTTCTTTTTTTATTTTTAAATTCCTCTTACGCGCACATAACGCTAAGATGTTAGTTATAATAAATTGACGATGACCAACACTATATATAGATATGACCAAGAAAATGGCAGAACATCTAGAACAACAATAGAAAACTAAAGAAAAAAAGAGAGAGAAAATAGACAGACTTTTTATTAACAATTAAACAAAGAATAGAGTGAGAGAGAGGAAAAATTCCATAAAAGAGAAAATAACAACTAGGATCTGTTATATGTACAGGGCACGTAATAGGAAGCAGAGTTGGAACCGGTTGAATTTTTCCTAATCGGACCGGACCGGCCGGTTTAATGCGTAGTTCAACCGGTAATAAACCGGCAGGTTCAGTTTTGGAGTTCAACCGGTAAAAAACCGGTCGATTCCATAGCAGATTAAAGTCCGGAAAAATCGATTTTTTGCAGAAAGCTAAGCTTGTGTATTTTCAAAATCTTCCTGTTATGGTTATTTCAGTATTAACGTGAGGTATTGAGCACGAAGTTCAACCCAATACAAAACGAAGAAAAATTCGCGGACTAATTTCTAATGGTGTATGAAACTCAGTAGGAAAACACAATATAGAGTAATCACGTTTTAATAGAGAAAAAAAACATTTTTTTCGGGCTAATATTTCATGAAGAAGGAAATGTTTTCGGACGAATGTTTTCGAAATGTGAAAGAAAATAATGGGAGAAAATTTTAACCTGTGTTCATGTATATCCGATATTCGCCAGTGTTAGGACAAATGTAAAATGAATTAATAGATCATTTTTGGATCTACTGTGTTTTTTCAACCTCCCTTGGGCGATTCCAGTTGACATCTCGAACTTTTGTTATACAGTAGTCATCTTTCGTTTGTGATTCGAAACCGACAGCAACCGGTCGGTTGAAGTGTAGTTAAACTGGTAAGAAAACCGGTGTTAACCGGCCGGTTGAACTTTTCAACCGGACCGGATCGATAACCGGTCAGCCGGTCGGTCTGGTTCCAACTCTGATAGGAAGGCAGAAGAACAAATAAGAAAACGATAGAAATAACCTTTACAAAGTACAATTGTTGGAGCTTTAGCTTCCACTCGACGAAACTGTCGTGTGTGTGGTAACTGTCATATACTATACAAACATATTTTTCAAGTGAACTGAAAAGAATTCCATTTGCCTCGTGCAGTTCTTGCCACGTCGTTGTCCCGTGCTTCGTCAGGCTTTCAAAAATTCTTCCATGTCGGAATCGCCCCACAAAGAATCGCAGTGCCTCGCGAGGATCCGAGTCCATCGCCCACCTCTGGTATCTATTGAAATCTTGATTTTTCACCCTTGTATTTGACAGTATAATCCCCACCACGAATTAGACAGATATCTGCAAGTAATGCATATGTGTGAGAATTTGTTTGTTTATAGTTGCTGCTTTCAAATCGACATGATGTTGTAAATTTAATTGGTGGTCGAAATCATGCGACGCCCTTGCACTATGCTTCATTGATGGATAACCTTGAAGTTGCAAAAATTCTGGTGAGTATTAAGAGACATTTCTTGAACTGAGGTAAGAAACATTTTGGTAATACAATCCTACAATTCAGACATCTTATAATGCTCGTTTATGTCAACCATGTGGCGCTGGTTTATATCCGGTTCACGTAGCAGCGTCAAATTCATCAAATAAAGTATTTAAACATATTTGTGAAGTTGGTAAGCTATTTAGCATTTTTAAATGCAGAGTATAAATCTGTTTGTGTCTTTGTTTCTTAGCTACTTCGCTAGGATATGATCCAATTAGCATATTCAATTTTTGTGATTTTGAAAACCATACAGCAATGCATTCGGCCGTTATAGGTAACACGTACTATCCACAGTCAAACACAATGATCGCCAATGCTTTTTTGGATAACGTTGGGACAAAAAAAGTAGAGTAAGTACACAACTTCAATCGTTGTACAGAATATAGATACAGAATAGTGAATTTAGTTTTGTAGTAGTTTACTACAAAGCTAAGTTCACATGTTCGAATCTCTATTCGTACAAAATTGATTTTGTGTTTTTCGATAGTTTTAGTTTAGAATACTATAATGGAATATTCTTCCGCTTGTATTCTGACAGAATAAAGCTTATATAAAAAAAGTAGAGTCGTGCGACTTTCCCTATTTAGCACAGAACACTTTCGGACATCGAATTTCAAACGTTAATAATGCTTCGGCGACAACCTTCTGATAGTGTAGCTTGCTATCATTCTATGAAGAGCGTACAGATTTAGTCGCAGCAGGACATGTGTAATACAAAGCAGTCGCCTGCAAAACATTTGACTTCTGTAAGTAGATCTCGGCGTCACAAATTTTCACTCAAAACAATTATATCGATCAATTTTTAGGGGCCTTGTTGAAAATGAATGAGAACATGGATCATCGGACCTTGTTAATCTCATAGTAGCATTTGTTCCGACAGAAGACTAAAGCTAAGCTTGAAAGAGCTATTTTCAGGGTTTACTGCTTTTTAGTAATCACTGTCAGAATGTGCAAAAACTTTTAAAACAGAGTGAGTCTAAATTGTCTGTCTTTCAAGTATACAAGGTCAAGAGCTGAGACTCGCATACTCTTCCGGTAAATCTCGAGAATGTGAAAGTTAAATGATTCAATGCGTCAGTCAATATGCTTTGCAACTGAAAGATGGAGTACTGACCTAGAAAACCGATATTATTGTCTTTGATTCGAGATCGATTTTTCTTTAATCTGTCACTCACATTCCCTGACTCATCGCAAAACTATGAACATTTCAAACAAAGTCCTGTTTCTTTTTCCATTCTATCAACACTCTGAAATCAACCACTTTTTGCCTGACCTGTTTCACAAATATAAGTTAAAACCGCTTTTTGTACTTTTCCACTTAAACTGTGCATTTATAGACGAAAGAAAAAGCTTTTCTTGTTCACAAGTATGCGACAATTTCTTCCTCTGTTGACTAACAAGCGATAGCATCTCAAGCATGAAAACATAAGCTAGTGGCGCCCGCTGCAGCTAGCTACGCTAGCTTCATAATAGAGATATGCAACCCGACGCGAAGGTTGGGTACGGGTACGAAGTTGTCGGGTACGGGTTGTGTAAGGGTAGAGCAGTTAGGGGTACGGGTTTCATTTTCTTTTTATTTACCCGATTACCGGAAGGTTCCCTTGGAAAACTCCAAGATTTTAGTAAAAATATACAAAATTTTAGGTAAAACACATGTAGTTTTAAAAAACAGTTACTTGAGAGAGTAATGATAATTTGTCATCTCCAGCCAAAAAACAAAAGTTATTAGCTGGAAAATGAGAAGAAGAAAATTTTTAGGCATAAAGCGGGTACGCATACGAAGTTATCCGGTCGGGTCGGGTACGGGTGGAAAAAAATGCCCCTGCAACTACCAGTATAAAAATGTTAGAATATGGAAATGGATTAGAGGGCGCTGCCACTAGCTCCACTGGCTAAATTTTACGCTTTTAGCTAGCTGCAGTCAATGGAGCAGCGGGCGCTTCTTCAGCAAGAGCAGCCAGCTTATTTCTTATGAAATTTCATTTCAGTTTATTTATCATAGGTAGTGAAAAATAGAGTTTAGAACTTAAGGGAGGCCTTCCATTTAGATTTAGTCCAAACTTTGCCACGTTGTACAGAACACTTCAAAATATATATGAAAAGAGTTTGGAGCTTAACCGACTTGTAGTTTTCTAGAAAAAACTATTTAATTATTTTTCGGCTGTTTTTGTCTATTTTAAGAAAAACCTGTGATAGACTTGCAAAATTAAGTTTCGGTTTTTGACCATGGGCCCTGGATAATTATTTTGTGAGCCGATGGTTTGTTCTAAGAATGGTTTAAAACTAGTTTCTTATTCAGTTTTCTATGATCTATCAGAACAACTAAGTTAGAAGATTCCATCTCGTAACATATATAAAACAAAGAGGAATCTAAGAAAAGTTGCCAAATTGGCTGTTTTCGACACCTTCCGAGTTTTTTCGAATTTTCAACCGGAAAAAAGGGTTGAGAAAACTCAAGGCACACATATTCTTGACCGCCTTGAAATTCTCTATCGAATGATGTATGATAAGCAAAAAACAAAATTTCACTGCAACTTTGATTTCCGTGCATCTTACAAAAATCTAAATAAAATTTTTACTTTTCAGTTTGAAACCTCGATATTGTAACCAATCGACAGAGCGCATCGAGATGTATATACGAAAAGACTGTCAGTGTTCTCGAACAAGGTTTCGAGACGAAATCGGATTTGACCTTGAGAATGGGTCTTGGGACCACAAGAGTGCATTTTTGAGACCTTGCTTACCAGAAACCGAAACGGGTCAATCAAACGTGACCCGAACCCGACTCGACCCGAACGTAAGTTGACCCGATCTGAACGGACCCCTAAAATTTGTAATTGTGATCCGAACTAGACCGGAAACATGAAAATGTTTTCGTACACATTCGCAAAGAAACACGTCTTTCCCATAGAAAACTTATCTTAGTCAGATTGTTTTGAAATGTTTTCAAAAAAATGGTCAGATTTCTTATGATTTCCGTCATTTTTTCCTTTCATGAGTGGAAAAGTTTGGCTAATTCGGGCAGTTTATTTTATATTGACCTGAGTTAGATCAAAACGGGTCAACCGAACGAGACCGGAACCCGACCCGAATCGATATCTTTTATGCTGACCCGAATCCGACCCGACCTGTTTCGGTCTCTGTTGCCTACAGTGTCTCTGCAGAGACGTATTTTTGGAGCAGGAATGTGAATGTAAAAGTTGTTTATTTGTTTATGTATTTTTCTATGATATAATACTCTGCTGTCGCTAAACTTCTTAAGTCAATCTTTAAAATTGAAAATACTGAGGCGCTTCATTGCGGAGAAAAGGCTCAGATTTTTACGTTATTTTTTCTTTTCTTTTGTGACAGAGGATAGCTTTCAGAAAATGTTCAGCTCATAGAACACAGACAGTTTCACATACGGAATCGAATGGAAGCCGAAAAAAAAGCCGAAAAAAAATAAAAATTTTCAGGAAAAAATTGTTCAATATCAAATTCTACACCGACTCAGAAAGGGAAATTGTTAAATTTCAAAAATTAGATTTTTAAATGTAAAAATACCGTTTCTAAAAATTTAATTAAAAATTTTAAGGTGTTCCTTCGTGAGCCGGTGTAGAATTTGATACTGAATAGTTTTTCTTCCCACAGTTTTCTTCTATAATGCTTTGCTCAGCGAAACTGCGTGCGTGATTTTTTCAAAACATCTTTTGTACTAAAAGCTGGCTGGGCAAGTCAAATCCAGATTTTTCCGTCAGACTTAGCCAATAGCGATTATAATATTTGTATAGGTACATTTCAGCATGATGTATCAAATGACGAAAGATTGCAGCTTATCTCTCGAAAAACAAAACTTTTATCCAAATTTTAAAAGTCAGGCAAATAAAACAGGAAATATTTAAAACTTTTTTTAACTTAAAACCACACGTTTGGTGACGGAGAAAATTCTACCATATGTACGACTGTTCTCTACAAACAGTAAAAAGGACCAGTGGTAATAACAAAAAAAAATAGATCATTGGCTATCAAGCAATGCAAGAATGACTTTTCTACGATTATTTGTTGACTGAGCTTTGCAAAATAAGAATTAGCAACCCAAATTTGAACTAAAATTTAAACTTATTTAATTAATAATTCGGCGCATATGCCTCAATTCATCGAATGAATGTAAAGCTATACGTAGTTTGGTGTCCTCTGAAAACTGACAAAATGTGAGGATACAAGAATTGTGCAGAAAAACGAATCAATTGAAGTCTGCCGGTTTCAGAAAAGTCTAAAAGTTAGAGTTTCTATCTAACTTTGTATGCTCTACACGACTGGTGTATTTAGGGAAAAAAACTCATTTTTTACCATATTCACACTGCTCGTGAAATCGTCTGTAACCGTTTCATTCTGATTTTCCATTTAACAAAAAAAAAACTGAACAAAATCCACATTTCAGTGATGTCTACCTTTTATTCGAAGAGTCATTAACCTATGCTGTTATTCATTTTGAACGCTATCATATTAAAAAGGCGTGCAGTACAGGTGACCTAGTTAGAAATAAAAATCTGTAGTCCTTCAAAGAATGACAGTGATGTCTAAAAGTGTTTTATACTAGTCGAAAGTCACCCGACTCTACCTTTTTTTGTTTCAACGTTAATCAAAAAGGCATTGGCAATCATTCTATTTGACTGTGCACAATAGTTAAGATCACAAGGAGTATTTGTAAGAGAATGCTTGATTTACAGGTGGAAATGTAGAAGCAATAATTATATGTTTGAAAAACGGAGGCAAAATTAGTGAACAACAGGTACACTTTTATTTGATAAAAAAAGTAATTCAGTTTAATTGAATTTTGTTTATTCTAGGATGATTTGTCGACGCCAGTACATTTAGCCTGTGCTCAGGGAACTTTGGAACTTGTTAAGTTAATGTTTGACAGTCAACCAGACTTGAAAAAGAAAGTACTTGGAATACGTGATATACAAGGAATGACATTGTTACACAGGTAATTAGCACATTCATCATTCAAGTATAACACAGGCCCGTCATATCAATTTTTATGTTTCTAGAGCAGCAATGTTCGATCATATTGATGTTTGTGCTTATCTACTAGAAGCGGTAAGCCATATTTCATTGAAGTTAACACAAAGTCACAGTGGCGGATTTAAGATCTGGCGGCCGTCAGGACCGAAATTTTTGATTTTATACCATTATGCTCTCATTCTTGTACAACGTGCCGAGCGCGAAAAAGTAGACATTGTGGCGTCTAGAAACTCTTAAGTAAAGTTTGTAAATCCGGTAGCAGCGAATTTTTTTTCTAGATCCGCCATTGCAAAGTCAATGTGGACATAAAACACTGATTCATAATTGAGATCAGTGTCAGCGCTGTTCACGGCCAAATGCTGTGATAGTTTATAATTTTTCGCAAAACTGTGGCATATTTTGAGACATAATGGACTTTCTGCTAAAATTTTGCTCACAATATGGTAGAATATCCCAGAATTAACATATCACCTTAAAAAATTAAAGTTGGTTCTGAGTTGCTGAAAAGTGCTTTCTCTTATTCAACACATTCGAACCCAGAAGATTTTCTATTTTTGGCGAGGAGTACTTCCAAAAGTTTAGGAAAAATTTTGAAACAAAACGATGCAAAAAAAGTTACCATGATAAAATAATATTAGTTTCAAAATTTTTCTAAACTTTTGGAAGTACTCCTCGCCAAAAATAGAAAATCTTCTAGGTTATTGAGTATGATACGAAAAAGCACGTTTCAGCAACTTAGAACCAACTTTATTTTTTTTTGTTCCGGTGATATGCATCATGATGCGGGATATTGTGAATCCTGCATTTCTTCACTTTTTACCGTAATTATCTTTTACAGGGATGAAAGGTTTTATTTATTTTTCTAAAATTAACAACCTTCTATTCAACGTATAGTAATTGTCAGAAATAACTGTATGGCAAATTATAATATTGTTTATTTGTTAAATCTAGGGCATAGATATCGATGTGTGTGACAACAATAAACGAACAGCTTTGTTATTGGCAGCTACTGAATGTTCATTACAATCCGTTCGTTATTTATTATCTTGTGGTGCATCGATTCTACTTCGTGATATTTATGATCGTAACTTGTTACATTATATCATTATTAAACAGTTAAACGTGAAAGAGATTGCTGAGCAATTATTTTCTAGACATAATTATCATTTGTTATTTGATCAACGTGATAGAGATGGATTCTGCCCCGTACATTATGCCAGTAAGGATGGACAATTATCAATATTACAATTTTTAATCAAAATGGGAGCTGAAATTGGAAATAAAACAAATCAGAGACAATCTCCATTACACTTTGCTGCACAGTTTGTATTAATTCACTTTTATTTCTTTCTAACTAATCGTTTATGTTTTCTGTTAATTAGATATGGTAGATATAACACGTGTAAACAACTGCTTGACACAACCGATTTCAAACGTATTATTAATGAACAAGACCATTTAGGACAAACTCCATTACATCTTTCTTCACAGAATGGTCATACAAATATTGTTGAATTACTCTTGCACAGAGGTGCACTGTTCATTAAAACATATGACGGTAATTCACCGTTGCACGAGGTAACCACTTTTTCTCTTAAGAAGCGATCCGCACACCCTCTGTGTCTCAAAACTTCCACACTTTATAGCGGACATCGAGTTACATCAACAGGGAAGGTTTTCTGATGAAATACTGATCTTTCCTAAGTTACTAAATAATTATTAATTGAAACTAATTGAAATATGGGTGACAACATAGTTTATTAAAGAAATTCCTGTACTTGATGGAAACATGGAAACTATGTGGTTTTATTGTCATTTTGGGGAGGATTGTTAACTGTATATAAAATGAGTGTAAAAATAGTTTGAAAAATTCTGTAAGAGGATCGACAGTTCAAGTAGAAATACGTTTCTTTCACTGTTAGCCATAAAAAGTATTGTTTTTAAAAACCTTATTTACAACCGCTCAATAACAGAAAACTTTTGCTACCGAAGTTGTAGCCCATTGTCATTCTACATGAGATAGGCGGAATGAATTTCAAAAAAGAATTTCAATAAAAATTGAACTAAAAGTTTTGATTTACAAAACTTTAAAACTCTAAATGTTGTCGCTCTTTTTTAAACTCATTTTTTTCATAATTCTAAAATTTTTGCCTCTAGAAATGAAAAACTATTATGATAATCATACGTAGAAGTTCATATAAAACAACGATGGAGGTTTTAGGCTGCCATGTGCTAATAATTGAACATTATGAAAAAAGCTGTTTTTTACCATATTTTTTGTACACACCTTGTGAAGTGAATAGCTGGAAAAGTATAAGCCATTTGGCAATTGGTCTAATAATAAACTCATTTTAAATTAAAAATGTAAGACGGTATAATTGGACAGTTTATGAGGTCGAAGTGTATATCACAGTTTTTGAAAGTTTTAGGAATTCTTAAACCGTGCAAATTTATTTTCAACCGCTCTTTTAAGGTATTATTGATAACAGAGAGAATCACATTAAATGAAAAACTATGTGATTTCAGACGTTAAAAACTTATTAAAAGAACTAGCGTGGTAGTTTCGGTGACGGAGAAATTATTCTAACTTATGATGAGAGAAACACCGAGAATTTTTCAGATACACTTACTCATCAAGTAAGTAATGAAGAAGATTTAACATCTGTCAGTAATGAATGGACTTCATCTTCTACATTGTCTCACTTCTCGACTTTCCCAAGTTTATCTAATATATCAACAAACTTTAGATGGTTTCAGTCGCGCATGTGCTCGAAAATATTTATCCCTTATCGTTTCCTTCAAGTCTAGAAGTATCTTTATGGTTAAAAGTGGGAGAAACGCATTTCTGCCGATATTTTACTTAAACTGTTGATCCTCTTACAGAATTTTTCAAACTTTTTTTACACTCATTATATACGGTTAACAATCCTCCCCAAAATGACACTAAAATCACATACTTTCCATGTTTCCATCAAGTACATGAATCAGCTAACAGAAACAGCTGATTTTTGAGCTTAAAAAGTCGATTTAAATCGAAAATTGCCAAAAATCGGAAAAATCACTGAAAATTGGTGTTATGTATTAACAGAAGAGAGTTTAAGGTTGTGCGCTGACCGTTTATCTCGCGTGATGCAGATGAGCAAAAAATAACATTAAGATTTCTTTTATCTTTTTTTCTTTACTTTCACTATGTCTGATTCCTTTTTTGTACAAGTAAAGCAAGTTTTGGACTATTTATTGTAGTCTTTACTTGATTCCCCAAACAAATTAAAGGAAATCGATGAAAATCAAAGAAAATCGGTGAAAACTGAAAAAAATCCCCAAATCAGCTGTTCCCTCGTTGGAAAACCTTCACTGTAGGTGTAACTCAATGTCCTCTATAAAGTGCAAAAGTTCTGAGACACACAGAGTGTGTGGCTCCGTTAAATTTGATAAGTAATTGTGATGAATTTTTCTACTCAAAATATAGGCAGCAGCTAATGGTCATATTAATACAATACGTTCAATATTACAAACTCATAGTCATTTGGTTAATGTACAAAATCTGGATGGTCAAACTCCACTGCACAGAGCTTCTTATAACGGTCATCCCGATTGCGTTACACTGTTATTGTACTCGAAAGCTGAATTCTTGAAAGATCGTCATGGAGATACATTTGTAGATTTAGCAATTGAACAAAAGCAAAAAGATGTGTGTTTGGCAATCATTGCTCATGATAGGTATGACAAGTTGTCTCTCTTATTTATTACAGCAGGTTGTTTTCAGTATTGTTACTACAGCGAATTATTTTATCTTTTGTTTCTTTACATGCAGGATTTAAAAGAAATGGACCTCGCCTAATATTGTTCAACATATTTCGATAGAGTTTAGTATCCTGGTTTTGAACGTGTAATTCGTTTTCTGTCCTCAGCTATAAAATCTTCATAGGCTTTTGTAAAAAAGATGACTTTTTTTGGAAGTCATAAATCCAAGCTTTGGTTTATTGCACAATGTTGTTAACATGCCGGCAAGCAATAAAAAGACGTTAAAGTATCAGATAGATAGGGTTAGACCAAAAGAATTAGAAAGTCATTGCATTGCAATATGTCACTGAAGTTTAGAGAACTCTGAATATAATTTTGTTTCCGTAGGATACTGAATTAAAACTGAAAATTTTTTTGTTAATATATACATAATTATACTGTAATTCCGGCTCAAACCACATGCGCTTTTACATCTAATTGACATTAGAGTTTATTTGTATGTGTATAGCTTCGGTGACAAAATTATCATCGTTTTGTTTTGCAGACGTTTGGCATATATAAAAAGCTCTAATTTTATTGAAGAAAAACTGGAAATTTTCTTTACTTTGACACGTGGAAGCGTGGATTTCTATGAGCCATCAAGTTTTTGAGATATAATCGCTGATCATCCGCGAGCTATAAAATAGTAACTACCATATCCAAATATCTGTCGAAAGAATTCGAACTCAGGAACTTCAAATGCAAAGCATGGACAAAGATGTAATTATATATTTTCGTGGGAATTTACAACGCAATTCTGGCACACTATATGGCGTGATTACGCTGATACAAACGTAAGAAAAAAAACACTATCGGATCAAATTATGCATAATCGAAGCTAACAGATTGAATTTAATTGGGTGAGAGCTCATCCCAAATTCTCTCTCGCTGTGCTTATCAATCTATTAGATTTTTCAGTTAGATTTTCTATCTAAAAACAGTTTATTTTGCGTAATCTAGGTGGAAGGAGGCGTTTGATTTACCGTGTCCAAAATATCGAACCCCTTTACTGGGTTTGATAGAACATCTTCCAGAATGTGTTTCGGTAGGCTAAACCAAAAGAAAATTAATTAGAAAACAAATTATGGTTTGATAAATTTAGCATGTTCTCGATCGTTGCATTACTCGCCTCCCCCATGACAAAACAAGTAAAGATTATCGCGTACGTATAAATTTCCTTTATTATTCATCTCTTGAATTCAGAATCAAACTTGATTTTCCATCGCTGAATAGTAAACTGTTTACTCATAATCGTATTAAACAGATTTGTATGCATTTGGTAAATGTGAAACACCGAAACATTACTTTTTAGCGTGTACTACTTATCGTGTTGTCAGAAATATTTTTTTACCAAATTCTTCTGAGATCTTCTGACGTCGAGCAGAACACTACTTTGCCATTATTGTTGTTTTGAGAGCAAGTAAAAGATTTGTATGATTTTACTTTTTTTACTCTCGTTTGTTTGCTCTTTGTTTTGTTCCCAGTTTTTCTTCCTCCCCCTCTTTTTACAGTGAAAACTATAATGAGAAATCGTTTGTTTTCACTTAAAAATAAGTGAGATTATCCCATATCTTATGTATGTTTTACAAGGCAGAAAAGCTTGGACGATCATCGTTTACCGCACGTAAAAAATGCCATAACATATAAAAAAGCTTGTCAGTGTTCCTTCTACGAAGTAAAAATGTGGAAACTTTCTACTGAACAGTTGAATTATAACATAGTAATAATTCATCGTAATAATTTTTAAAACTTGTATCTAAAAATATCAGATGCACTGTCTGTTACTAACGAACAAGTCCTAGGAAGTTTCGCAAAAGAGTTTTTTTTTAATATAGGAGCTTTCGTTCTTTATAGAAAAACTTTCATGGAAAAAATCGCTAGGGAATAGTTATTTGAGAAAATGCCACGAAAAAAAGTTATATAGACGCAAAACACCGTCTGAAAATCTGACTTTGAAAGACCTGATATGTAGAAAGATACAGTAAACATTTGGTTTCTGTTTAGGTAGATCATTAAGAATTAATATAATGAGTTCCTTTTGGTCAAAAACAGGAAAAGTAACTCAATATATTCACAGTAAACATTTCTCTATAAAATGGGAAAAAGTGCAAGTGTGCGACATTACGCGATAGGTCGAGACTTCAGCTCGCCCTTTTCTGTACATTTTTTTGAAAATGTCAGGTGACTTAAACCTTCCATGGACAGATTTTTCTCTGAAAAATATACAGTTCGAAAGGCTACTTTTTATCGAATATGTTCGGTCACTGAATATATTTGACCTGGAAACTTGATGTGATGGAACGTGTTCGGACGAAGATTGTGAATCAGATAGTTTATATTTTTCTCATCGAAGATATCGGCGAGCGCTCTGTTATTAGGACCATCAACTTTATAAAGCTACATTCGAATTAGGGCTGAAACTTTCTTTCTACTGTATGTGTACAGTGAGGTATAAAGCATTTTTGCATGAAAGCAAAGTGAAGGTCATATCAGTAAAGTATGCTTTAGTTAGAGAGTAAATAAGATATAATGGAAACTAAAGGTACTTCTTTCAGAGATGTCACAATCCCATTACGGCACGTATTCAGCAACAACTAGGCTCAATCCCATTACGGAACATCGGAGTATTGTCGATTCCGTATCTTCCTCTTCTTCGTATCTTACATGAGGATGTGAGGATTTTGAGGGTTTTGCTGAATCAAATTCATATGGGGATCAAATGATAAGTGGGGCGTAGAAAATTGCAAAATTCAGTGTATCGCTACTCACTCGCACGCATAGTTAACCCAGAATCTGTCAGTTCGTTATTATCATAATTCTCTAAAGGTCCTTCCTAACAACACATTTCAAGTAATACTGTTCCTAGAATTAAGCGGAAAATCTGGTTGAATTCGGATAGAATTGTAATTCTGTTTCAACCACAACTGGGCCAGATTCTGGCACAATTAAGTCACCATCACCCAATCCATACAAAGGCCCATGGACCGCTACAATAGTTCAAACTTAAATATGCCCTCCGAACTGGCAGATTCTGAATTAAGCCCCAATGCTACCACATTCTCGTTCGATCCTAGAACTGGTACAAATAAACCTGTGTGCATGTGCGGGGCGTGCGGAAGGGTGCATACCGTAACACAGCAAAACCCTCAAAATTCTCATATCCCTCAACTATAAAGAGAACACACACGAGAAGAGAATAGGGGATATATAATACAAGAAGTCCATTAAAATGTTGAAGTATGTTGAAGAAAGTACGCAGAAGTATCGTATTACGTTTTTACTGTTTCGAAACGTGGATACGGGTCGTATCAGGATTATGACACCCTCACTTCTTTGAACTTACTGTAATAAAATAAATATAAAGTTACTGCTCTAATTCAAACTTTTCCTTACATGACGACTTACTGCTACGACGTAATCATAGCTGTTCATTCGATTGATGGAATCTTCTCCATTTTTTCTGTTTTACAGGGGTTTCTTGTATGTGTTTTTTCGCTCTGTTGTTCTTAGCTTTGACAAACTATTTCTTTTAAACGGTTCGTTATCGATCAACGAGCCATAGTTTCGGATTGTTGTTTGCCTAATCAAAATCCACGTTCAGTTGTTGTTGCTTAATGCAGTTTTTCATGTCGATGACAAATATAAAGTTTGTCTTTTAATGTTGATGAATATGGTTGAATGCGAGAAAAATACTTTTATGATAGATTTTCGAGTCTTTCACGGCGCTATTTGATAACAGTTCAATAACAACTATTGTCTCAAATTTCAGCTTATATATGATTTTTCTTACATAAATTGGACTGAAGAACGAGAACTAAATGGCAAAATCTACAGACGCCCGATGGTTCCGTTGAATGTAAGTCACACAGTTTTACAAGACGATAAATGACTTGTTTTAATCTGAATCATGTAGATGATGGTTCAATATGGACGAACTGGTAATAGTATTGCAGTAACGTAATGTTTTTCTTTTTTGACTTTCTCACTGCTCTTTCTTATTACTGTTTAGATCATTTGGTTCATCCACTATGCGAAGCATTGTTATGCCATAAATGGTGTGTGCATGGTTGATTTCTATTGTATTTGAATATTACACCGCTACTTTTTTAGGGTAACATATGGTTTTCCATTACATTTAATACAATTGGTTTTTTATTTATCATTCGTTCTTATATTATCCTATTTTGTTCTTACATTTTCTTCTTGTAATCATATTGATCCGCAAATAATTAATACTAACCAGGAATCGATATGTCCGAATTTGCTGTTTACATCCTTTTTCAAAACAGCTGTAAGTTTAATACAATAACTTAATTGTACTTTGTAGTAAGCATGATCACCATCAAGAATCTCGGTCTCGATATATCTCTGATTTGCAGCGTTAACTTTACTTCCCACAGTCAGTTTCTGTGATATAAAGGACTTTATTTCGTTTATTTATTTAGTTGGTCATATTTTGTTTAGAAAAATAATATGTAAAAACAGGTATCGTGTGAATGAAGCTGGTCTAAGTTGTGTGATTCGCGCTGGTATTGTTTGATAGCCGCGAAGTGTAAATGCAATAACGTTTTTCTACTAAACGGAGTGTTTTGAATTCTTTTTTATTTTATGTGTGTAACGTTTGCCCACTAGCACTAAGGGCAGCGGTTCTTTTCGTGCGATAGAAGAGTTGCATTATCGCACGCCAAAGTTTTTGATGTCCTCTACCGTTGAAAAATGAATTTTTTTCTGTGAAAATCAATCAAAATACTGTTGTTGCAGACACTTTGGTCTTTTTCTGTCTCGTGGGATTGAAGCTATCATATCTCAGCTAAAACTAAACACAGTCTTTATCAATACTAGTCAAAAGATAGGTCACAGATTGAGAATCATTTCGGTAAAAAAATAAAAGATGCTCTTTCTACTGTAAAAAGTGATAATTACTATTTGTGAAAACAAGCTTCACACACCAAATGTTCCCTGAGATTTTCAATTTTGTTTTTCTAATATCTCCGTTAATATTCAGTTTTTCGCAGCGATGCTTCTGCCATTTCTTTCCATTGCGATGTACTGCATATCCCCCGAGATGTGGCTCAAAACATTTTGTCGTTTCTGAGAAAAATGAATTTTAGTATAAAAATATCCCGCGAGACTTTTTTAGTTCACAATGTCCCGTGAGATTAAACTCGCCATGTACCCATGAAAAATAGCCTAAATTTAACTTTATCGTACACCATTAGATAAAAAGTGGTGATACAAATCTAGTTATGTACGTGTGGTAGCCTTGTCATGTTGTAGCTGTTTTTTTTGTAAACTGAAGAATCTTGAATGATCCATTTTCTCAGAAGTTTGCATAAAAGAAGTTTCGCTGGCGATAAAACGCATTGATTCGTAAATCATTAGAGAGGCCTCATCGAGATCTATCGGTTGTTGCATTAGAACAAAACTTTCAAGGCCATTTTATGTCGTCTGTACATAGGCGGTGGAGCCACAACGTCTGGGTAGACTCCAGCCTACTGTAGAATTGAAAGTCGTAGGCTTGGATAGGCTGAGTTCGGCTAGGATTTTGGACGGTTAAGCTTTTACAGCAGGATCATAAATGCATAAGCGATTTTTTGCAATACGACACCGAAAGGGCGTATATAACCCCGAGGGACAGATTCTCAAGTGTGAATCCAAAGAGTTATACTGACGTATTCCACTGCAAAAGCGGAGGAGCCACGCGCCGTCGTCGCACAAGTCATAACTACACGATTATAAGTTATAACAACAAATTATAGCGTTTTCTTTCGTTTTTTGATGTACTGAAGCTCTACAACATATTATATGAATGACGTCCTGACAGGATATCGATGGTATTTTTGTTGTGCGATACCTTTTGCATACAACTCGGCGCTGACTGTACCCTTTTGTATCTTACTTCAAAAGAGGAAAAAATCCACTCTGAAAGCACTGAGCTTGTTCAATGCAAACCAGCTGTATTCCTTGTCGAAAAGTGATTAGAGTTTGATCGTTGTTTTTATATCTTTTGCTCGACACTCTAGTGTGAAATCCTGCCAGCATTAAGTTTATAAAAAGAAGTGCTAAATCTAGCATAATTCATGGTCTTGCTCATAATACTGATACAGAAATTTCACCCCCATTTACTAGCCCCCCCACCTCTGTTTAAAAAGCTTTTTAAGCCTACTCACGATTCAAAACGTTCCACCGCCTATGCGTCTGTATCACAATGGCCTCCGGAATTATTATACTTTTCGTAGCGAAAACCCGTTTTCTGAGAAAAATGAACGTGGTAGTCTGAGAAATTAGTTTTTTATCATCGCTTGGGTATCAAAATTTACTGAGATAGTCAAAGAAAGTCCACAAGACAGTTTATTTTTACGGTTTTTTCACGGAAACGGCTCAATATCAGCGCAAAACGTTCCTCTTTTGTAGCTAACTATTCTCTACTATTTTTAAACGTAAGACTTCTGCAAATCTGGCAGATGTGGATTGGTTTAATGCTGGCCACCGCCGCTTTAATCTGTTTTAATTTAAATGAATATCAAATCGGGTCATTAACTGTCGATCTTTAAACTGAATTTTAGACCATGGCACAAATAGTCTGTGTTTGGTACATGGTAGTTTTTGGTTTTGTTAACATAATTATTGCTTTGTTCCAGTTTGTCTTAGAGGTACAACTTCGTTTATGGCTAATGAACGAATGTATTAATTTATAATTTAACTTTAATATAATTTGTCTATTAATAGGGCAAAGATTATTTTCGTTATTTTGAGCGCTATGTTCAATGGATATTACATATATCAACATTAGTTTTTGCTTTACCATTTCTATTTGATCAATCAATACATTATCAATGGGAAGCTGGTTCAATTGCCATTTTTGTTGCCTGGTTTGCACTGTTATTTTCGTTGGGACGGTAGGTTGTACTACTGTTAACTGTAGCTCAGAGCCTGCAACACCAAACATTTCTATCCCCAAAGTCTATCCTATGATTTAATATATCTTCCTATGCAAAAACGTACTGTTCTCTGAATCCCAAAGTTACTCTTACAAAATATATGCCATATCTTTATCCTGCACTTCTCCTAGTGCTTATTTTGTCAGAGAAAGAAAGAGCTGATAGTATAGGTATCGCAGTATTAGCAAGGGAACGATGACAGCAGCATAACAGGCATATTTTTTGTACAGAAATTCTTATCAATAAATATTAGCGTTGTCAGGAGTAGAGATGAGCGATAATGGTAAAAATATGTTACCGTTACCGACACTTAGGTAGCGACATTATATTTTTATCGCGGAAATTTCAAACTGATAAAAAATCTCAAAATTTTACCGCGATAAACTTCGATAAAAGAATTGTTTATCGTTACCGACTGTAAATTACCGAAGCTTGTGTGATTAATGTTTTCATTCATAGGATGAAACAAGTTAATATTAGGTTGGCCAAAAAGTTCTGCAACACTTGCGAAAAAGTTGATATTTGCAAGTGTTGCAGAACTTTTTGGTCAACCTAATATCAATGAAAAATACGAAAAAAAGGTTTCTATTTATAGCTACTTCACTTTGCAGTTTGTCTTTAAGAAAGAAATGTTGGTATGTAACAAGAAAAGTCTGGCCTCATAGAATTTGAAACGTTTTCTATATCTTCTCCCTTTTAGAGGTCCCACGGAACTTTTTACGGGATCGGGATCCCGAAAAATCTTTTATACGGGACCGGGATCGGGTTGTTTTGAAAACAGTCTTGTACAGAGCATAAAAATTACTTAGTTTCTGTACTTGTTCGTATGCAGCCACTAGTTCTGCGTGAAAGAAGTCACACAAAATTTTAAAAGTCTTCTATTAATATCACCCACGCCAGGGCTGGGCAACTCCACTAACTTTCAACTCCAATTCCAACTCCGTTTTCAAATTTCTAACTCCAAAGTTGAACAGGAGTTGAGATTTTTATTGAGAGAGTTGGAGTTGAAAAGTTTTGAGCGGATTTGGAGCTGAAGTTGGTATAAGCTTTATTCTGTCAGAATACAAGCGGAAAAATATTGTCTTGTGCCCTTTCTTTGACTATCTCAGTAAATTTTGATACCCAAGCGATGATAAAAAACTAATTTCCCAGACTACCACCATTGAATATTCAATAGTTATAAACTGATCTTCTAATCGACTGAGTGGCTATATTCACGAGTGAATTCGGAAGTTCTTTGCGCTTTCCTGTTGGAAAAAGCTCAAAAACGTCCAGAATCTTGCTAAAAACCGAAAACTCTTCCTTACAAAAGTGAAGCAACCAAAGTTGAACAGGAGTTGAGATTTTTATTGAGAGAGTTGGAGTTGAAAAGTTTTGAGCGGATTTGGAGCTGAAGTTGGCATAAGCTTTATTCTGTCAGAATACAAGCGGAAAATATCCCATTAGAGTAT